GGGAAAGAGGGACACCTGGTTGCCTGCCCTCTCTGCCTTGGGCTGTGCCCCTCTGCCCTTCCTCCTTCCCCCTTCTGACCCAGCTGTGCCGTTTGCTAAACCAATTCAAGGTGCTAATCTGGCAGAAAAATGGCCACAGGTGGTTGTATTCAGCACCAGCAAGACATCCAGTTACTTATAGCCTCTGTGGTACGTCCATGAGGGAAAAGAAAATGAGGGGTGATGGCAGAAAGAGAAATACGTAAGAATGAAAAATAAAGAAGGGGTGACTTGAAGGGACAAAGGTTTGTGGTGGAAAGGGCGCTCAGCAGAACAGGCTCAAGTCTGAAGCCCCGAAGTCAAGACTTTTGACAGCCCTGTGATATTTGCAGCTCACAAGTGGGTTTCACTGGGAGCGTATGGAGAGGATGGGCAAGGTGGCTCCTGTGGCCAAATGCTGCCACGGGTCCAAGGTGTGCGCCACTGCCTTTTCGTGTGGTGCTGAAAACATCAGCATCAGGAGCTGCAGGTGGCTGCTCCAGTCGGTGGTATTTGTGTCTGTCAGGAATTATTCTTGATGAGGGAAATCTAAACTAGTACAAACAGCACAAGCCCGAAACAGGGATTTTGCAACAGCCACTGATCCAGCCACCAACCACCTTTGCCTTGACAGGCCCTAAGTGATAGATTTTGTGAGCATACTCTACAGAAAAGGCCCCTTGTGCTCCTTCCACACAGCTTTAGTTTTTTATTTACCTTAGAAATGTCTGTCAGGCTCTACCTCCATCTATCAGGACAGAGCGATGGCTGTGCAGCAACTCAAGGGCCTACCTTCAGCAGACCCATTTGCTGCTTAAGTGACTGTGAAGGAGGCCACGTGGGCTGCTGACTCCCACAAGGTCTGAAATCTATTCACCCCTGCATCCCTCATTGGCTGGAGAGATTTAGGAGTGCTCTTTCCATTCCTCTAACAGTCACACCTGATAAAGATGAAGTCAGACTGAAGGCAGGTCCCTGCATCCAGTGCAAAGAGCAAGATTTACTGACAAACAGAGAAGTCCATTGCTAAAATCTGCCTTTGCAATGAATCTAGCCTGCGCTGACCAATGAAGACAGTTATTGAATCAAAGCTGTGGAAGACAATAATCTTTTATAGGATGTGGCAGCTCTGTCAGGCACTTTAGAGTTGCTTCCAATTTGTCTGGCTACTTTTTCCAACAGTGGACACACCGCTGGGGAAAAACGGGTCATCTGAGTGGCAGAAATCAGAAAACTGCCCACACGACCCAGCCCCCAAAATAATATATCTGCTTCCTTATGCCATAAGGAGCATTAATATCAGACCAACAGACATTTCGTCTTCTCCTGCCTAGCTAAGAAAAGGTTCATTTGGAGAACTTAAGTCCTTGGCTCTGAGTATTGACTTTGCACATGCGTTATAAAACAGAAGAAGTGTCCTCAAAATACTTTGCTCTAATACTGAATTCTTTACCAGGCTACATTTAATAGTGGCATTTAATGCTTGTTCTTTTCACAGGCACAGGAAGGAGGAAGGAACTTTCTGGACACCAAATCCTCTGGTTTCCCAGCTGAATTCTCTCCAGGCCTTTCATCCCAGACAGGGATCTCTCAAAGGCTGCAGAACCAGCATTTTCCCCCCTTCATCTACCAATGGGACAATAAAACTAAGTCAGTTGACTAAGATCTTGTCCAACATGGTGAGATAAAATGGGAAAAGCTAATTTAAGCCAGTATATTATGGTCTGTGGGCAGTCCAGGGGAAGATTTTATTTTTTTTCAGATCAGTTTATGCTACATTAACTTATTCAAAGCTAAACTGAAAAAAGCCCTCTCTCAAGGAGAAAACCAGTGGACAAAAAACTATACAAGTTCTTTGGTTAAATTGTGTAACTGGTTGTCCTTTCCTCCATGAATAAAACCAAGAGCACCATAAATGAGTAGCATGGCCAAGAATGCACCAGCAACACCCCTAGAGAAGGTCTTGCTGGTCCTCAGAGGACAGCGCCATCAATACCAAATGTGCTCCTTTCCTTCCTCTGCAGGGCTCATGTGATTTCAGTGCAGTGCTTAAAATACTCTGTGGCAGAAAACCTGAGTAAAAGCCCCTGTTGTAACACACCAGAGAGAAGTTACCTGGCTTCAGTGGGATGGAGGTGCCTTTGCCAATTTGACCATTTTTGCACCCAGGTTTGTTTCATCCTGACACAGCAACTCTGGCAAGTGCTGCTGCCACATTGCTCCACTGGGTCTTGCAGGAGCTCTCAGCTCGCAGCATTACCAAAACCAACAAACAAATAACAGGGCTGCCATCAAGACCTTTCCTTAAAGGGCTTGTTATTTTCTCCTCTCTGTTTAAATGGTGTAATGCTGCTAAGCTTGCTCCTGCTTTCCGTGCCTGTAGGAGCCTTCTTGGTGAAGATTTATGACTCGGACAACAAAACTTGTGAATGGGAAGAAACCACAGGTGTGTTGGGAAGGATGTCAGGTGGAATTTTATTCTGTGATGGCTGCGGGACCCCATTTGCCATGACATGCTCTAGCTATTCTGATCATGGCTCTCCTGAAGTTGCTCTGCTTACTTTGTCGGCGGCTGTGAGTCGTGTCCAGGGTTTGTCCGCCCTCCTGTCGTAGTCCTGCGCATCTGCCACTTCCACGTAGTCACTGAAGCGGATGAGGATCTTTCTCTCACGTAGCTCTTCTACTGTGGGCCTTTGACTCAGCTGCAGGTTTGAGGAAGGCATGGAAAAAGACATCAGGACTTCACTTTTTCCTTGCTGAGTGCTGCCTGCGGACTTATTTTACTACAACCATAGTTACGATAACAAGAGGACTCAGACATTTCCAGTACTGTTGTTTTATCAGCCTTTCACAGAACTGCTACTTGGGAGATAATGTCTTGTTATAGCACCTTGAATATCATCCCACCTTGCTGCTGGAGCAGCCCACTGTTTGGGAAGCAGCTGTGGCTGGAGACCCCAATCCTTGGCTGAGGTTGGTCACCCCTGGTAGAAATGAGATTTAATGCAAGAAAGTCTCCTAGCGCACCACTGATGTCTCAGTAAGAGTGAAAGACCATAACACAACTTTAAAACCACCCAAGAGGCTGTAAGCTTCCCACCCTGGGAAGAGTCAGGCAAAGGCACCGAGTGGCTCCTGCTCTGAATTATGTGCAAAAGGTGACAAACGACTTTACTTTTCTGATATTGCTTGTTATTTTTATTCTGATATTCTGCAGACTGCAGGCTGGAGAGTTGGGCAGGGAATAATT